TTGCACAAGGCCTTGGATGCAACTGTGTGGATGCAACGTGTCCGTGTGCCTTTTATTTCACTCTGCAGACTGAGTTTTGTGGTGTTAACTGCTCTGCGAGTCCAGTGCCCCCCATTCGTGTCCCTCAGACACAGGGGACACATGCATCAACAATGGCTGCTGCCTGGGTTATGTCCAGCTCACAGACGTGCTTTCACACACTGGGTTATGTCCAGCTCACAGACGTGCATTCACACACTGGGTTATGTCCAGCTCACAGACGTGCTTTCACACACTGGGTTATGTCCAGCTAACAGACGTGCTTTCACACACTGACATCAGGACCTGAGTCACGCTATCTAATTTGCACAATTTCCACTGCTTACAGATTTTATCACCTTCTTCAAAGTCTTTCAAAACTGACATCTTTGCTTTTGACTGCTCTACTAGGGTAAGTCTTTGGAACAAAGCGCTTGACTTTGCTTGCCATTTGCCAGGGAAGCTTTTCACAGTTAATGCTTCCGGGTTGCCTAGGTGGTGACTTGGAAGGTCCTATTGAATTCTGTTATTTTCCTTAAAAGGTACATACCTAGAGCCCAGTACGGTAGCCTAGTGGCTAAATGTTTGCCTTGCATGGACCAGGTTCCCATATGGGTGCAGGTTTGTATCCTGGCGGCTCCACTTCCCATCCGGCTCCCTGCCTGTGGCCTGGGAAAGCAGTTGAGAATGGCCCAAAGCCTTGGACCGTGCACCTGCATGTGGGACCTGGAAGAGGCTCCTGGCTTCAGATTAGTTCAGCTCTGGCTGTTGTGTCTACTTGGGGAGTGAATCAGCTGATGGAAGATCTTCCTCTCTGTCTCTCTCTCTCTCCTTTCTGTATATCTGCCTTTCCAATAAAATAAATAAATCTTAAAAAAAGAGTACACACCTAAACCTTTAAGACACAAGTTTCCTTTCCTTTCGTTGTAGGGTTTTTTGACCCCGAATATGGCAGCAACCTCAATTCTTGTCTTGCAGGAAAGAAGAATTTTCATGCGGACACAGTTTAGTTTTTTTTTTAAGATTTATTTTTATTATTTTTTTATTGGAAAGGCGGATACACAGAGAGGAGAGACAGAGAGGAAGATCTTCCGTCCGATGATTCACTCCCCAAGTGAGCGCAACAGCCCATGCTATGCCGATCTGAAGCCAGGAGCCTCTTCCGGGTCTCCCACGCGGGTGCAGGGTCCCAAAGCTTTGGGCCGTCCTAGACTGCTTTCCCGGGCCACAGGCAGGGAGCTGGAAGGGAAGCGGGGCTGCCGGGATAGAACCGGCGCCCATATGGGATCCCGGGCGTGCAAGGCGAGGACCTTAACCACTGCGCCACCGCGCCGGGCCCCACAGTTTAGTTTTAAAGCAAGATTTATTAGAAAAGTTGAGATGAGAGGCTCCCGTCCTAGTGACGGGAGGGGGCTCTGAGATAGGAAGGACCCTTACCCCCTGCCATAGTGGCGGGAGGAAAAGTGAAAAAGAATGCCCTAGTGCTCTGCCACAGTGACAAGAACACGTATCAATGGTGGGGAAAGCATCTTTTAAAGGTTTACCTAAGATGTTTCTCCATAAACAAAGAAAATTCCTGGTTTCCATGGTGCCTGGCCCTGGGACAAAAGGCCAGAAAGGTGTCACTGGCCAACTTCCTTGGTCCCTTTGTAATGATGAAGAGGCCAGTCTGAAGCCCTGTGCCCCCCTTGGCACTGGCAGGAGACAGAATGGGGCTGAGGCTCCAGGAGGGGAATTGGTATGTTAATGTTGCCCTTGTCTCTTGGGGAAGCATTCCTGATAAGATATGCACTTGTCTCAGGAGAGATGTGCTCTGGGGAATCCAAGACATGGTGGGGGAAATACCCCTTTATATTTGAGGAAAAATGACTTGGGGCCCCAGAATGCCCTAACTGCCTACTGCCCAGTCCAACTCCTCTCACGCTTTCCTTTTCAATTTGAAAGAAGGGATGAAAGAGAACGAGAGAGAAGAGTGAATCCTCTGGCTCACTGGCTAAGTGCCCCATGCCAGGGCTGGGCCAGGTCACAGCCAGGAGTTACCCTCAGTCCAGGTCTCCCACATGGGCGGTAGGACCCGGGAACTTGGGCCAGCACCTGCTGCTCCCAGGGTGTGTGACAGCAGGAAGCTGGCCGGGAAGACTGCAGGTAGCGAATCGGATTACACAGGTACTTACCACACAGGTTTTTCAAACTTGAGCTCACTGGCGTGCTAGTTATACAATGACACCCACGTCTCTTTCAGGCTGTTTTCCTCCTTCAGGAAATGTAGCGAAAGAGGTCTGCTTTGCCCATGTGCAGGCTGAGGTAGTAGTGTCCCTGCTGGCAGCACGGCCTCCCAGCCCAGATGGCACTCACTAGCTACGCGGCCTGGCGTCATTCTGCATCTCTTGGGATTTCACCTTTCTCATTGTGAAGCGGATGCATGCACAGCCCCTGGGTCACGCCTGCCCGGAGGACCAGCCTGCCCGGAGGACCAGCCTGCCCGGAGGACCAGCCTGCCGGGAGGACCAGCCTGCCCGGAGGTCCAGCCTGCCGGGAGGACCAGCCTGCCGGGAGGACCAGCCTGCCCGGAGGACCAGCCTGCCGGGAGGACCAGCCTGCCGGGAGGACCAGCCTGCCGGGAGGACCAGCCTGCCGGGAGGACCAGCCTGCCCGGAGGACCAGCCTGCCGGGAGGACCAGCAGGTTGACGGAAGGGACTGCTTGCCAAGGGCTAAAACGCACTACTGCCTTTGTCAGTCCTCCCACAGGGACACGGTGATAACGTTACAGCTTCCAGCCTTTGCTTATCAAGTCATCTGGATAATTTAGCTCTTCACGTGACTTTCCTGTGAGGAACTCGGGCTTTGTTTCCGTTTTTTGCATCCTGAGTGCGTGCACCTGGACTGGATTGGATTCAGCTGTGTGGGATCCAGGCCGGATTCTCGCTTGTTCCCAAGTCTCCCAGCGGGCATTCAGTCCGAAGCTGGGAGTGGACAGCAGAATCCCCTTCTCCCTTCAGTGGGCATGGGTGTCCCGTCTGTCCGTCATTTGGGTCAGGCACGGGAAGGCTATTTTGCCGCATGTCACAGTCTCTATTTAAATGTAGGAGTGTTTGATGGCTGCAGCAAGGCTCCTGCAAGGGAAAACCCACACCTTCTCGTGTGAGGACCTGTAATTGCTACCCTGGCGCCCGGTCCACACGCTGACTGCAGACAAGGGCCACCGTGCGAGCCACCTCAACTATCCTTTGGAAGGCTGCACGTGGTGGCTTGTTACCAGAGGAAACACAGCTGCTTGGCAGCTCTCTGAAGGTTGCGGCTCGCTCCTTTGTCATCGGCTATCTCACAACATCAGAGCAGGGACGTGCTGTCCCCGCAGTCAGGTGCTTTCTGCTGGCCCTAGAGCACGTCAGCCACAGGCCGGTGCCCGACTCCGCGACGCCATCACCCGAAGCCCCAAACCGGCGTTTTAGGTCCTTGGATGCCGCCGTCTCCGTCCTATGTGTTTTTGAATCTGGTTTTTCTTCCCCACCCTTGTAACTCTTGCGTGAATGCTTTTTTTTTTTTTTTTTTTGGATAGTCAAGAGTCTATTTAAGCAGTTTCTTTGCCTGTTGGTCTTAATCCTCTCAAATGTTATTCATTATTCATGTCTGGCTCTGACCAGTACCATGTCCCCTCACACAGACGTGCCCCGGAATGGCGCCCGTCCCCTCGGGATCCGCCTCAGTCGGCTTCCCTGTGAGCACTACAAGTGTTTTTCATGCACAGGTGATGTTAACAGACTTGGTGATGGACTTGCCCAGACACGCGGGGCGGTTACAAACATGCGCACCTGGGCCTACGGTGGAGTTCTCTAGGGGAGATCCAACCCACCACATGCTAAGAATTCACACCAATGCACACCGCTGAGCACACATTCCGCCAGTGTGCAGGTGAGGAAAAAAATGAGAGCTCGGGGCTGAAATGACGTGCGCAAGCGGCAAGCGCCTAGCAAGCCGGCCGTGTCTCAGGTGCACGCACGCGGGCAGGCCGTGTCTCAGGTGCACGCACGCGGGCAGGCCGTGTCTCAGGTGCACGCACGCGGGCAGGCCGTGTCTCAGGTGCACGCACGCGGGCAGGCCGTGTCTCAGGTGCACGCACGCGGGCAGGCCGTGTCTCAGGTGCACGCACGCGGGCAGGCCGTGGCAGGCTGGCCGCTGCACGGGGCGCCCGGAGGTGCACGGGCAACGAATCCGGTTAGGTCAGAAGCCCAACATTAGGTCATCGCCGGAACGTTGTTTGGCCCTCTTCCGTCCAAGAGACGTCTAGACACACAAGGTCACTCTGTACCCCCTCTCGGGCAGGCGTGGCTGCCTGGCCCTGGCGTCCCCTGCCTGCGCCTCCGTCCTGGCGTCCGGCTGAGCTGACGGCCCTGGGCGCCGCGGCGTCGGACACCCGGCCAATGCGGGCCGCAGGGACCCCGCGGGGTCCTCTGTCCGCGGCCCAGGGAACATTCTCCAGCGCTCTCCATGCCCCGGAGCCTCCGCTCAGGGCCCTACTCGGTCCTCCCGAGAGAGCGAGCCCTCGCGGCGATGCCATGTGCGTGTGTCGGGGGGTGACCAGCACACACTGGCCCCGGGTGACCGTCCGTCAAGTGTCCCTCCCGAGCGGCCCAGGGCGGGTGACGGCGCCGGGCCCGCTGCCGGAGGCGCTGCGCAGGCCGGGCCGCTCCGCGTCGGGGCCTCGGCTCCCGCAGGGCCCGGCCCGTCCTCCGCCCGCCGCGCCCGCCCACCGCCGCCCGCCCGCCGCGCCGCCCCCTCACAAAAGCCCGGCGGCGCCTCACCGCGCGCAGGGATCCCGGCCGCGCGCGCTCCCGGCCCTCCCCCCGCCTGCCGGCCGGGCCCCGCACCTCCGTCCACCCGCATCGTCCCCGCTCCCCGAGGGCCCCGAGACCGCGCAGAGGCCGAGCGGCCCGCCGTGTAGCTGCGGCCGGCGGCCCGCGCGCCCCTCACCGCGGAGGGACTACTTTTCCACTCGGCGGCGGGGACTACTTCCTCCCCCGCGGAGGGGTCGGGCGCGCACGGCATGGCGGCGGCGGCGCGCGCCTGAGGAGAGGGACGCCGGCCCCGGCAGGCCTCGGCGCGGCCTACACGCTTCGCTCGCCCGCTCCCGCCTCCCTGCCCGCGCCCGGCCATGGCGGAGCCGTCTCCCGCCCGCCGCCCGGTGCCCCTCATCGAGTCGGGTAAGCCGCGGGGCCGCCGCCCTCCCAGCCCCCGACCCCGCAGTCGCGTCCCGCGTCGCTCCCCCGTCCTCGCCGTCCCCCGCGCGTCCGGCGCTGACCCGCTGCCCCGTCTCCCCGCAGAGCTGTACTTCCTCATCGCGCGGTACCTGTCGGCGGGCCCGTGTCGGAGAGCGGCCCAGGTGAGGGCGGCCCGCGGGCCGGGGAGCGGGGCGGGGAGCGGGGCCGCAGCCCGGGCTGGCCCGCGCCGGCGCCCGGCGCTGACCGCGCGTCTCTCCGCAGGTGCTGGTGCAGGAGCTGGAGCAGTACCAGGTGTGTGCCGCCCCCGCGTCGGCGCGTCCCCTCGCCCGCGCCCCGCGTCCTGCCCCGCGTCGGCGGCGGGCGGCGGGGCTCACCGGGCGCCCTGCGTGTCTTTTGCAGCTGTTGCCGAAGAGGCTGGACTGGGAGGGCAACGAGCACAGCAGGAGCTACGAGGAATTGGTGAGCGCGCCCCTCCCGCACCCCTCCCCGCCCTGGGCGCGCCCCTGCAGGGGCACCTGCCACGCGCCCGCAGAGGGACCCCGGTGGGTGCGTGTAAGGGGCGAGGCAGCCCCGAGGTTTTGTGGGGTAGTGGACAGTGTGGGCGGCCGGGGTGCCCGGTCCTGGTGGCCGGGTGGGCTGCCAGGTGTGGCCGCCCGTGGGGCGTGCAGCCGCCTGTGGGGTGTGCTGCTGCCCAAGGGGTGTGCTGTCACCCGTGGGAGCGTGATGCCGCCCGTGGGGTGTGCAGCCTTCCGTGGGGTGTGCAGCCTTCCGTGGGACGTGATGTCGCCCGTGGGGTGTGCTGTCGCCCGTGGGGTGTGCTGTCGCCCGTGGGAGCGTGATGCCGCCCGTGGAGTGTGCAGTCTCCTGTGGGGCGTGCTGTCCCCCGTGGGGTGTGCTGTCCCCCGTGGAGTGTGCTGCCGCCCGTGGGACGTGATGTCGCCCGTGGGGTGTGCAGTCTCCTGTGGGACGTGCTGTCCCCCGTGGGGTGTGCAGCCGTCCGTGGAGTGTGCAGTCTCCTGTGGGACGTGCTGTCCCCCGTGGGGTGTGCAGCCGTCCGTGGGGTGTGCAGGCGCCCGTGGGACGTGATGTCACCTGTGGGGGTGTGCAGCCGCCCGTGGAGTGTGCAGTCTCCTGTGGGGCGTGCTGTCCCCCGTGGGGGCGTGATGCCGCCCGGGTGGACATTGGCACCCCTGGGCGCCGGCCATCTGACTGGCATCCGAGCTCCGATTTGGTGTCCCCTCTGGCCCCGCCCTGGGCTTCCGACCACTTGTTCCCTGGGAGAAGAGTCTTCTGTCTCTGGAGGTGCCTGCTTTAGCTTAGTGATTTTTGTGAAGATATTGCTGTTTGCACACGCGGCCTCTGGAATCTGCTGGCTGTGCGCAGCGGGCCCTGGGCAGTTGGCTTGCAGTGGCGAGTGGGCGCTGAGCTTGCCCGGTGTGACTTAACACGGGCGTTCCTCACCAGGGAGGCTGGGTTTTTCTTTGAGTGCTGCTGACTACGCTTTTGTTTCCCTCCGTGCACCTGTTCAGTTGCTGTCCCAGTCTGTGAGGAGTTTGTTCACAGTGTTAGCAGTCTCAGGGATTTATTTGTCTTTAGTGGGAAAAAATGTGTTTTCCGGGAAAGTGTGCCTTTTCTTAGGGTGAAAGGGGTATTTGAGGCTTGCCAGGCCATGGTCACCGGCTGGCGGAGGGGATGTGGCCGCGGATGGTGGAAGACTCGTGTGAGGTGGCGCTGCCACCTGGGAGCAGCCACACGTGCACACCGAAGGTTGGCTGAAGTTACCAAGAGCTTTGGTTTAACTGAAGGACTGTTCACAGGACTGCTGTTTGCTGGTGACGTTAGCCTGGTTGGTGAGCAGAAAGTCCTGACGACACAGCACTGCAGTTCCCGCACGAGGGAAAGTGAAACTCCGGAACGCAAATGCAGGGCTCTGTAACTGCTGGAGAAGTTACACACTTTATGTAAGGTTTTGGTTTTTGCCGGTCGCATTGCTTAGAACCCTACTGGAAAGTAATAGTTTTATTTAAATCCGTGTCCGCTTTCGTGCTGGGGCGTGGCCGTGGGGGTGCTGTCCCGGCCTGCCTTGGCTTGCCCGGTGGCCGTCCTCTGCTCCTGGCCCGCTGCCCCGTCGCAGCACACGGTGCAGGGCAACAAGGAGGTTCAACTATTTGAGTATTTATTATTTACTAGAGTTGCTTTTGTGATTTATATTTGTGATTGTGATTTTATTATTTTGTGGTTTATTATGTTTTTGTAAAGGTTTTTTGTGTGATTTCTAAGTTTCCAAAATCTCTATTTTTCAAATGAGAATGGTGTAATGATCTATGCACCACATTTACAGGTTTGATTTTATAGCCAGTTTGTTATATTTATTTTGATTTCAGTTGGGGGGATGCCATTTGTGTGTGAGTATGTATAAAGCTCTGGCTTTATAATGCTAAGTGCCAGTGTGTGTCCCTCTTCAGATTTTCCTGTCTTTTGGTTCTTAGTTGGAGTTAAATGAATGTTTATGCATTGCACTGACAATATAGTCCGTGTCTTCTGGAAAGTACTTTAGTGAGAGATGGGGCAGGTTGTTAGATTTTGTTGCTGGTGGCCTGCATTTGATGAGACCGTCTGAGGTTGAAGAACTCTAAGTACAGTGTTCTTTAAGCCAGTTGAAGTTGAGTCTTTGTCATGAAACCAGGCATTGATTTTTTTTTAAAAGGTTTTCAAGAAATTGTAACACTGATGTTTGTAAAGCTTCAGTTTCTGTTCAGCTTGTGCCGGTTCTGGGGCTCCACCCTGCACTGGGGCGCATCCGCAATTTGAAATGCTGGGTTGGAGCCCTGCTTCCTCTGGATTCCAGCTTCCTGCAACTGTGGACCCCGGGAGGCAGTGCTGACTCCTAAACACGGGTCCCTGCGTCCCCCTGGGAAACCACGCCTTCCTGTCCCTGACTTCTGCGCGGCCCCTGGTGGTTGTGGTCGTCTCGGGCCTGGACTGGTGGGTGGGAGCTGTTTCTGTTTCTTGCTCTGTGCTTCTCACATACCTGCAGATGAAAGGATTGGACAGGACTGTGTGTGTAAAGGTGAAATGCTTATTTTAACAAAGCAAAAAGGATTATTAAGAAACATCAGTGGATAATATGATGTGCTTTTGTAAGCCAGTCTGGTCTTAACCAGAAGAAAAAATTCCGAAGATCTTTATGGGGCAGCATGTCACAGGGGGGCTCATTGCCACTGATTAAGATTTTTATCGTCTGAGTAAACCTTTTGTTTGAGGACTAGATTTTTTTTTTAAAGATTTATTTATTTATTTTATTGGAAAGGGAGATCCACAGAGAAGGAGAGACAGACAGATCTTCTGTCCACTGGTTCACTCCATAAGTGGCCGCAATGGTCAGAGCTGAGGTGATCCAAAACCAGGAGCCAGGAGCTGCTTCTGGCTCTCACACGCGGGTGCAGGGTCCCAAGGCCTTGGGCTGTCCTCAACTGCTTTCCCAGGACACAAGCAGGGAGCTGGATGGGAAGCAGGGCTGCCAGGATTAGAACTGGTGCCCATATGGGATCCCGGTACATTCAAGGAGAGGACTTCAGCCGCTAGGCCACTGAGCTGGACCCTAGCTTATTTAAAGTTGAGAAAATCACAGAGGTTCTTGAGAAGTACTCAGTGGTAGGGTGCACAGGGAGGGAAGGTGAGAGAGGTGTTTCTGATCTGCCCTTGTGTTGCTGGGGGAGAGAGAGCAAGCTCCCCTAATTGCTTGCTGGCTTGTTAGGATCCTGGAAAGGGGGTTGATTACATAGAGGGGCCCTCTTCCTGGAAGCTCATCCTCCAGGGTGCAGCCTCCTAGAGCTGATTGGGTTCCTAGCCTGTGGCTCCCAGACTTCATGGTGTTGTGTTGTAGGTACAGCCTACCTAGGACCCGTAAAATCCCTGGCCTGATCCCAGACTGGCATTGGGGTACACCATGGTTGGTGGGCTTCCTAGGACCCCAGTGTCAGTCACTTGGCCTGCTAAAGGCCATCAGTACCTCTCACCCCAAGACCCCAGCCTCAGGCTCCTGGCCTAGCATGGGGATATGCTGCAGGTGCCTTCTGTTCAGGACCTGTGAGGCACGCTGGCGTGCCTGCTCCGACCCTGTGTCAGGTGCCTGGCCTGCCACTCCTGCTTCCACCTCATCAGGCCCCTGACTTGCTGAAGGCTATCACGAGTAAACCCCCACCCCAGACGTGGCCTCAGGACTTGCCCTGGCATTCTCATGCAGCAAAGTGATGTCTCAAGGGTAGGTTAACCCACTGTACCACACCAGCCCTTCCTTCAGTTGTTTTGAAGTTGTCAAGATGCAGTGCACTCTAAATAAATTTAGAATTATTGTCTCCCTATCAAATGGACCCTTTCATAAGATTAGGAATGCCCTTCATCTCTCATAATGCATCTCAGGTTAAATGTTTGCCTTGCGTCAGTATACGCATACCAACTTCCCTTTGGCTAACAGCGCGACTATATGCTTTGTTCTCATAGGCAGTAAAGCTGTTCCTTGTGCTGCTGATCTTTGTGTTATTAACAGTGTTTTCCTTTGCACATATTTGACATTTTCCTAGATAGTATTAGTTGTTTTGAAGTCCGTATTATTTGCTTGCTTGTAGCTGTATAGCTTTAGAATGTTTGACTTATTTGTAGGCATGTAGGCACTCATTTGTAGAGTGTCCGACTTATGATAGAAACGCAGGCATGTTTCATGAAACTGCCTCACTCCCCAACGGCGGGCGCGGTTCAGGTAGAAGCCAGAAGCTTGGCACTGCACTGGGTCTCCCACATGGGTGTCGGGGGTACAAGTACTTGGACCATCTTTTGTTGCTTTCCCGGGCACATTAGCTTGGTCTGAATAGGAGCAGCTGGGCTTCGAGCCGGCACTTTGACTGGCTGCTGTCACAGGTCTCCTTCAACCCCCTTGTGTTGGTATTTTGGATCCTTCTGTGCAGTTTCATGGGTCTTATTTGTGGTATTTTCCCTTCAATCAGAAGAACTGCCTTTTTTAAAAATTCCCTTTTCTGTTGAATTAAAAAATTTTTTCTAAAAGATTTATTTTTATTGCAAAGTCAGATATACAGAGAGGACGATCTTCCGTCCAGTGGTTCACTCCCTAAGTGACTGCAATGGCCAATGCTATGCCGATCTGAAGCCAGGATCCAGGAACTTTTTCCGGGTATCCCACATGGGTGCAGGGTCCAAAGCTTTGGTCTGTTCTCAACTGTCTTCCCAGGCCACAAGCAGGGAGCTGGATGGGAAGTGTAGCTGCTGGGATTAGAACTGGCGCCCATATGGGATCCTGGGGTGTTCAAGGCGAGGACTTTTTTTTTCCAGGCCACGCCGTTCGGCCCGATCAGTTTGTTCTGCCCTCTATCCTCAGTAAGCCAGTGGGTGTTGCGGACCAGGCCAGCCCTGCCCAACTCAGCTTCAGCCCTCAGGTATACAGA